CTTCCCTGCCCTCTCCTTCCTCCTTAGCAAATAAGAGAGTCAGTTGAGTATATGCTGCTCTATCTTTTTCCTACTCAATTCTGTGGTGTCAGGTGGACCTGGATTTAAGTCACCCTTTTCCACATAATCTCTGTATTATTTTGGAAAAATTAAGAGGCAAGGAACCTTGGTGGCAAGATAAAGTGGGATCTGGTTCTTAGTGTCTTGGCTGTGATTATACAAGGACTAACCAATAAATACCTAATAAGAATGTTTTACTGTGTCAGAGGAATATCTGGATTTAAAAGCAGTGAAGCCTAAATTGCCAGTGCAAGTATGACATGACAGCCGAGAACTCCATGCATAATATCTGAGGATCCTGAACTCATTGGCTTTAATGTACCATAGTCATCTACAGACAATAACAAGTTTTTTTGTTTGCAGACTATAGTTGTGTCAGTGTGTTATGATGCCTTCCCGTACCAACCTGGCTACTGGAATCCCAAGTAGTAAAGTGAAATATTCAAGGCTTTCCAGCACAGACGATGGCTACATTGACCTTCAGGTAAATGCAGAAGGGAACTGATAAGATGGACTGCATATGTTTCTGTTGTTAGCAGGAAAACCTTCCCAGTGGAGGTTTTGCTAACTGTCCCTGGGATTAGAGAGTAGCAAGAAGTAAACTCAGCTCTGCAACCCTTTCAGCCATAGCTTACAGAAGAGGACCTTGGCAGGGCACTTTCAACCAATTCTAATATTGTCCATTTCTAAGAATTTTTTAGTTATAGTGCCAGAGCCCTGTAATTCCATTTAGTTTATCCAGAAATAATCAGATTGTGTTTGTTAAGTGGAGTTTTTTTAAGGAATTTTAAAATTTTTTGCTAAGCAGAATTTTTTGTCACCGGTTTTTTTTACACTTTAGTCAAAGCCAGTTCATCTTTTTAGGGAGAAACTTACTGCTGAAGCCAGCAGATTGTGGGAATCTTCCTTCTTTCCTGATGTCATGAGATCCAATTTATTAAAGGTATTCTTTGTGACAAACAGTAAGTAAAACAGAATATTAAATTTGTTCCTACCCTGACCATTTACAATAGTAGTACAGCATCTCTTTTTGCCTATTTCCCTTGGAATAGAATATTCTAGGTTGGTCTAGGCCGAAGAGGAAGTAGCAGGACCTCATCCCTTTAAATATAAATAATACAAACACTCTGGGAGGCTGAGGCAGGTGGATCGCTCAAGGTCAGGAGTTCGAAACCAGACTGAGCAAGAGTGAGACCCCGTCTCTACTAAAAATAGAAAGAAATTAATTGGACAACCAAACATATATATAGAAAAAATTAGCCAGGCATGGTGGCACATGCCTGTAGTCCCAGCTACTCGGGAGGCTGAGACAGAAGTATTGCTTGAGCCCAGGAGTTTGAGGTTGTTGTGAGCTAGGCTCTCTAAGCACTCTAGCTCAGGCAACAGAGTGAGACTCTGTCTCAAAAAAAAAGATAAACGGCGCTGTGCTCACGCTGTAATCTAGCTCTTGGGAGCGAGGCGGCGATGCTCAAGTCAGGAGTCAAACAGCCTGAGCGACCCGTCTCTACATATAGAAGAAATATTTTATAAATAAAAAAAAAAAAAAAAAGATAAGATAAATAAATAAATAATTCTTCATACTCTTGGACCTGCATTTGAAGGACAGATAAAATAGATCTGGGAAACTTTCAGCCAGTTAGAACGGATACAGCCGTGAGCCAAACCTTAGAAGTTTGTCTCTGAATCTTAACCTTGAGTTGAACTTATTCATAAGGTAAACAACTAATGCTTTAGAAAAAACTAAAATTGTCTGTTTCTAGAACCTTTAACCATATACTAACTTAACTTTGATTCCAGAAATTACTTATTTTCTTCTCCATATCATGGTATTCATTCTTTTTTTTTTTTTTGAGACAGAGTCTCACTCTATTGCCCAGGCTAGAGTGCCATGGTGTCAGCCTAGCTCACAGCAACCTTAAACTCCTGGGCTCAAGTGATCCTTCTGCCTCAGCCCTCCGTAGCTAGGACTACAGGCATGTGCCACTATGCCCAGCTAATTTTTTCAATATATTTTTAGTTGGCCAATTATTTCTTTCTATTTTAGTACAGGATCTCGCTCTTGCTCAGGCTGGTTTCTGAACTCCTGACCTTGAGCGATTCTCCCGCCTCGGCCTCCCAGAGTGCTAGGATTACAGGCATGAGCCACCTCAACCAGCCGGTATTCATTCTTCAATCCCCGTAATTAGTACAGCCATCTGTGTGCCAGGCACTTAATAATATGTCCAATGAGTGAATGACCATCAAGTAATTTCTGGTTTTGTAAAAAAAAAAAAAAACTTTCTTATGAACATGGTATAAGAATAGAACTAGAAAGGATGACATTCCTCTAGGACTCTTTTGAGTGACTGTTAGAGCAGTAACTAGAGCATGGTGTCCTGCCTGTCTCTTTCCTTTCTTTCCCAGAGCTGCACTGGGTGGTAGGACATATTTCAAGACCCAGAAATCATCCAATTTAATTATCCTCCCTGTTTTAAAGTATCTGGGCTGTTGTATTTTCATAATGTCCTTTCTTGTCTTTTTTTGTTTCTCTTCCAGTTTAAGAAAAGCCCTCCTAAGATTCCTTATAAGGCCATTGCACTTGCCACCGTGCTGTTTTTGATTGGCGCCTTTCTCATTATCATAGGCTCTCTCCTGTTGTCGGGCTACATCAGCAAAGGGGTAAGCTGACAGACATTGGGAATGTGCTGTGAGATCTTTAAAATGTTAGCCAAGGCTCTTGTTTTTATATTCATTTCTAGTACAGCAGATTCCAACAGAAAGATTTTCTTTTATATTTTTTTCTCTGATGACAAAATATGTTTTTCTTCCTTTAAGCAATAAACTTACGTAGTTCCTATGAGGGTTGTGGGTGCTGGTAGGCAAATTTAATTTCTGAGATACTAGGCAGTTTGCCCACTGTCATAGTTTGGAAGAGTACAGCTGAGGCTGGCATCCAAGATGCCTGCTTGCTACAGGGCTGTAACTGGAATAATATTATGTCCTCATCACTTTGCAACCCCCTGGCAAGCATTTGGAGAGAAACAATGATTTTTCTATAGGTCTGGGGTCAGTGATCCTCATACATCAGTCCTTCTTTTGTTGGGGTTTAGGTGGAGTTTTAGTTGAGCTTTGATGTGATACCTTAGAACTCTAAGGTGTTTTTTTGTTTGTTTGTTTGTTTTTGGTTTTTTTTTTTTTTTGAGACAGGGTCTCATTTTGTTTCCCAGGCTAGAGTGAATGCCGTGGCATGAGGCTAGCTCACAGCAACCTCCATCTCCTGGGCTCAAGCAATCCTTCTGCCTCAGCCTCCCCAGTAGCTGGGACTACAGGCATGCGCCACCTATGCCCGGCTAATTTTCTGTATATATATTTTTAGTTGGTCAATTAATTTCTTTCTATTTTTGGTAGAGACAGGGTCTTGCTCAGGCTGGTTTCGAACTCCTGACCTCAAGCAATCCGCCCCGCCTCGGCTTCCCAGAGTGGTAGGATTACAGGCGTGAGCCACTGCGCCCAGCCGTAAGGTTTCTTAAATACCTTAGAACCTAAGGTTCTTCCTCCTGGGCTGTCCCCATATACAAAGTGTCTAAGTTATCCTGAACTGATTCTGACCATGATTAACATACAGCAGGATGATGGTCATATCACTCTACAGAAAGAACACTGCCCAGAGCTGAAATTGCCGCTATTATCATTGGAATTGAGAATAGTGTCTCAATTAAGTACCTGCACATGGTTTTTAAGAGGAGTGTCTGATTTGCGTTAGGTACTGCTATATGGCTACCAGAGGCGTTCTTAATGCAGTTACATTTGAACACCTTACATCAGGACTGGGTCTTCAGTTAACTTTCATTGAAGCATGAAGTATTAATCCCAGGGGTATAGTAAGGAGTCTGTTAGTGATAGAAAAATTGAAAGGTGGCCCAGCATGGTGGCTGACGCCTATAAATCCCAGCACTTAAGGAGGTAGAGATGGGAGGATCACTTGAGGCCAGGAGTTCGAGGCCATCCTGGACAACATCTCTTTTTTTTTTTTTTTTTTTTAGACAGGGTCTCGCTTTGTTGCCCAGGCTAGAGTGAGTGCCCTGGGGTCAGCCTAGCTCACAGCAACCTCAAACTCCTGGGCTCAAGCAATCCTCCTGCCTCAGCCTCCCGAGTAGCTGGGACTACAGGCATGTGCCCAGCTAATTTTTTCTGTATATATTTTTAGTTTGCCAATTAATTTCTTCTACTTTTAGTAGAGATGAGATGGGGTCTCGCTCTTGCTCAGGCTGGTTTCAAACTCCTGGCTTTGAGTGATCCACCTGCCTCAGCCTCCCAGAGTGCTAGGATTATAGGCATGAGCCACCGCCCCTGGCCAACACCTCTTTTTTAAGAAATCGATTATAGCCCTGGCTATTAAGCATTATAAAAAGGTATCCATGTAACAAAAACATTTGTTACCTTCTTAATAAAGAAAAAAAACTGCAAGTCATACAAAGAATACTGGAGGAAAAAGAATTGAAAGCAGAGGGAGGCAAGGTTGATGCAACAAATATCATTTCACCTTGTGTAGTTAACAGAAGACTACCTTATAGGCTGGGCGCGGTGGCTCACTCCTGTAATCCTAGCACTCTGGGAGGCTGAGGCCGGAGGATTGCTCAAGGTCAGGAGTTCAAAACCAGCCTGAGCAAGAGCGAGACCCTGTCTCTACTAAAAATAGAAAGAAATTAATTGGACAACTAATACATATAAAAGAAATTAGCCGGGCATGGTGGCGCATGCCTGGAGTCCCAGCTACTCAGGAGGCTGAGGCAGGAGGATTGCTTGAGCGCAGGAGTTTGAGGTTGCTGTGAGCTAGGCTGACCCCAGGGCACTCACTCTAGCCTGGGCAACAAAGTGAGACTCTGTGTCAAAAAATAAATAAATAAACAAACAAACCTTTTCCCTTAGTAGTGTATTTCCCAAAGAAAATGTTATGAAAGTGTAAAATATTGATCTGTAGATTGGGCCCATGACTTTTTTAAAAAAATTCGTAACTTGTATGGTACTAATGTGTTTGCCTCTTTCTGCCACCAGGGGGCAGACCGAGCTGTTCCAGTCCTGATCATTGGCATTCTGGTGTTCCTTCCCGGATTTTACCACCTGCGCATTGCCTACTATGCATCCAAAGGCTACCGGGGTTACTCCTACGATGACATTCCAGACTTTGATGACTAGCACCCACCCAGCCCTGAGGAGAAAAGTCACAATGGGACTACACCTAGCTTTGAGATATTGAGCAAAAACTATGGCTAAGGGCTAAGGAATTTTGCAGTTTGCAATGTTAAAAACAATGTCCAGATTTTGGTTCCATCCCCAAGATGTTAACTAAGCTTACAATTAGCTAATTAGGACATCCTCTGCTTTTCAGCTTCTGGCCCTGACAAGTTTTTCCACTGGAATATGTATCATGGAACAATAGCAATGTTAATTGTCTAGGAAACAGGAGGTTATTCTGTAGTGGAAAGTGTTGTTGCCACCACCCTCTTTAGAGTTGAGTGTTTCTATTAAATGGTCTTCATTGTCAATTTGTTCTAGCCGCAAATGGAAGAATGGAGCATGTCTAATTTCTTATTACTAAGTAATTTATTTTAAAAAAATCTAAGTTTATCCCCTCTAGTTACTTCTGCATTCATGTTCTAGTGTAAAACCTTGGTAAAATTAAATATCAGTGTCCATGTATCTGTAATATTTTTTACTCTTTTTCTTATTGACAGCAACCAGGAATTTTTTAAACTGCAGAACAACTTTTCAAATGTAAACACCTTCTCTGTTTACCAATCCTTGGCCAGCTCTGAGCTATATCACCAATAGGTTGAACAGCATATAATATGGGTCATTATGTCCTTTGTAGATCAAGATGTTCTGTATATCATGCCTTTAAGGACTGGACTTTTGGCTGTTTCCTAATGAAAAATGTAGATAAGTGTTGTTTATTTAGAGTTTATAACCCTATTGTCAGTACCTTGTATTATGTTCTCATTCTGTGAAAGATCAGAAGTCTGGATCCCTAAAGACTATACTGCCTTACTTAGGCTGATACTGTTTCCTAGCTTGCAAAAAGTGACTTATACTCAAATTAAAATGTTGAAATCCAAATCCTAAACTTAAAATGAGTTAACTTTAAACATTCCAAAAACATTTCAATGATCTTATGATTTTTTTTTTTTTTTTTTTGTGACAGGGTCTCACTCTGTTGCCTGGGGCTAGAGTGCAGTGGTATCAGCCCAGCTCACAGCAACCTCAAACTCTTGGGCTCAAACGATCCTCCTTCCTCAGCCTCCCGAGTAGCTGGGACTACAGGCATGCACCACCATGCCCAGCTAATTTTTTCTATATATTTTTAGTTGGCCAATTAATTTCTTTCTATTTTTAGTAAAGACAGGGTCTAGCTCTTGCTCAGGCTGGTTTGAACTCCTGACCTCGAGCCATCCTCCCACCCTGGCTTCCCAGAGTGCTAGGATTACAGGCATGAGCCACCACACCCAGCAATCTTAAGATATCTTAAATCCCAGTACCCAGAACAACCTTTGTTTTCAGGTTACTTGCACTATAGGTCAGACTCTTCTTTCTAGTCATTCTTTTGCTATGAGGTTGTGGACTTGGGCAGCTAAAAGCTAGACATGTCATCAGCTGCGATTTGGAAGCTGTGGGTAGAGCAAGTCTTGGAGTGAAGATGAGTTTTGCATGTGTTAAATGTAAGGTGTCTACTTGATATCCAGGTGGAGCTGTTGAAGTAGTTACAGGGCACACTTGTGTCTAGAGTTCAGGAGGGGTTCTAGACTGGAGGTGGAAATCTGGGAGTCAGTGTTTGGACAGTGTCTTGGGAGTCACAGGGCTGGGTGAGAGCACCAGTGGAATGAGTGCACATGGAGTTAAAAAGAGGACTCGGGAAACAGGAACAAAGAGAATGTGTCCTAAAGCAGCTTCTGAGGTTAGGCACATTGGTAATGGGAGGGTAGGCTAGGGAGTCCAGTGCTCTACAATTCTTGGGCCTTGACAGTGAAGATGTGAGATGATATATAAAAGCTTTATCTTGGGCAGTGTTTGTGAAACAAAGCTCAGACCAGGACATTTCTGCCAAACTAAATCATTTGGTCCATTTTCTCCCCCAGCTCACCTCCCAAGGTTGTCCAAAGTTTCTTGTATATCTTTCCTAAAATGGTCTAAGCCACATAAACATATATGTCCATTTTTTTAAAACTTTGGCTCCTGCTGTTTGGTTCTATAATTTTTTCCCCCCACTTAGCCTATTTTGTATATCTTTCCATACTCATGGAGATCAACCATATTCTTGTTTGTTTTTAGCCATATTTTTTTTTCATGATACAAATGATGAATTATACAGTAAATAAGTATCAACAGTCAACACAAGTTCAAAACCAGCTTCTGGTCCCTGGTGGCTTCCTTCCCACCGTGCCCGTTAGGAGGGAGCACAATGGCAGTGGCCAGTGGCTCCATGATCAGTGCAGAAGGCAACAGGGACAACATGCACTCGTGATGGCCTGTGCCAGGAGCTGGGGTCGGGGTGGTCATGTTGGGGCCTCAAAGTCTGGTCAGCAAGAGCTCTTGTCTGTTACAAAAGAATCACTGACCCAAAAAGTTGAGTCTGGTCTACTGACTGGTCTGGGCCCCGCGCACCATTTGAGGGAAAGCACCTACCTGGGCAAGAACCCTGTCCTGCGCCCAACCGTGCCACCCACCCTCCCCCGGGCAGGAAGAGACCAGCCACCAGCCTTCCTGAATGGCATCCTCTGATTCTGGTGGAGGAGTGGCTCCTGGGGCCAGAGAGGACACCTGTGGAACAGCACAGGTGGGCAGTCTTCACTCAGACCCTGCATGTCCTTCTGGCAGCCCAGAGACCATTTTATTTATTTTATTTTATTTTTTTTCAGACAGAGTCTCACTTTGTTGCTCAGGCTAGAGTGAGTGCCATGGCGTCAGCCTAGCTCACAGCAACCTCAAACTCTTGGGCTCAAGCGATCCTCCTGCCTCAGCCTCCCAAGTAGCTGGGACTATAGGCAGGTGCCACCATGCCTAGCTAATTTTTTTTTTTTTTTTTTTCTTTTTTTTTTTTTTTAATTTTTTCTATATATATTTTTAGTTGATCAATTAGTTTCTTTGTATTCTTTTTTTTTTAGTAGAGACATGGTCTTGCTCAGGCTAGTTTCGAACTCTTGACCTTGAGTGATCCTCCTGCCTTGGCCTCCCAGAGTGCTAGGATTACAGGCGTGAGCCACCGCGCCAGACCAGAGACCATTTTATTTTATTTATTTTTATTTATTTTTTAAATTTTATTTTATTTTTATTTTATTATTTTATTTATTTATTTTTTATTTTATTTATTTTTTTATTTTATTTTATTTTTTGAGACAGAGTCTCACTTTGTTGCCCAGGCTAGAGTGAGTGCCCTGGCATCAGCCTAGCTTACAGCAACCTCAAACTCCTGGGCTCAGGCGATCCTCCTGCCTCAGCCTCCTGAGTCTCTGGGACTACAGGCATGCGCCACCATGCCCAGCTAATTTTTTCTATATATATTAGTTAGCCAATTAATTTATTTCTATTTATACTAGAGATCGGGTCTAGCTCTTGCTCAGGCTGCTTTCGAACTCCTGACCTCGAGCAATCCGCCCACCTTGGCCTCCCAGAGTGCTAGGATTACAGGCGTGAGCCACTGCGCCTGGCCACAGAGACCATTTTAGATCTTAAATCTCTCTGTGCCAATGCGAAGGGTCAGCTCTCCTTCAGGAACCAGAGAGGGGCTGGCAGGTGGTCAGCTGACCTGGGAGCTGGAGGTGAGAAGTCCACAGGGTAGAAAACGAGCCAGAAATGCCCAGTAGACATGCTACTGGGACACAGGATTGGGGGAATGTCTTTGTTGGGGAGAAGCAAGTCTTTTCTGGTCTTTAATTTGTGACATAATACTTTTTTTTTTTTACAGTGGTGGGTGGGGTGAGAACAGCAGAAGGTTGGGAGAGGGAGGTAATATTAGTACATGTTTGTTAAAAAATCTTAGCCCATGTGAGAATGATTTTTTTCTACATCTCCAAAATGAGAAATTATTATTATTAAGTCTGCAATTTAAAAACAAAGGAGTTAGCAGGTAGGTGGATGAGGGCCATCCTGGTCCCTCACCCCCGTCTCAGCCTGGGAACTGTCCCCTGGGGACCTGCGGGCACAGAAACACCCCCCACCCCTGGGACAACTGACATTTCCACATTATCCCCATCTTGAACTCGAGTGTGGACTGAGACAGAGGAGAGCAGACACACAGAGTCAAGACATTTCTTCCATTTCAGCTAATCCCTGCATGCCTTTTATTCACAAAAGGAATTAGTTGATAAAAATCGGTGAGTCGCATTCATATATGAGATTTTTTTGTTTAACTTTCAAGATGTTGGTGTATCAGTAAGAAAAATAGCCTCTCTCAGGATCTAGCCAAAAGGCTGAAAGTCAGTCATTTAGTAATTCACCAAAAAAGGGAGGAAAAGGTAACTGGAGGCTGGGCCTGTTTGTTGCTGTTGTAGTTGTTTTTTTTTTTTGTTTTGTTTTGTTTTGTTTTAATAAACATCATCTTTTATGTGTAATCAAATTCCCATATGTTTCCCTATAAAGAATTTGCTTTACTTTTTCCATAAGGCATTTTTTTGTCATCCAAACATCTTTTCTTTTTAGAATTTTCTTACAAAGTTAAAACCATAAATAGGATTTAAACCACTAAAATGACACATGCTAATATCTTAAATCAGCCAGACCTGGTAAATCCTATCAAAACTAGACAGTTAAATAAGAAACACGTTATAAAAATATTAGCCAACAAAAGACTATTAGGTAATTCTGCAAACTCAAATATGAAGCTGTACTAAACAAAATGTGTGCAAAAGTATACAAGCATACAGCCATGTGGCAGGGTTATGCTCAGATTAGTTTTAAAGCTTACTCTAGTGGATTTAATTCAAGAGTTGTCCATGGTGGTGTTTACTTTGAACTCACGCACAAGTCAAAGAAAAATAAAACATGCACAACCGCGTCCCCAAAAAGTCAGTGTCTCATGGAACCAGTGCTTCATCCCTTCCACACCTGGGACTGCCTGGGCTGTCCCTAGGACTGGGGGCAAAAATTAAGAGACCGTCCCAAGTCCTAGGCCAGGCAACGTCCCAGAGACCCTTGGGCCGAGGCTGGGGGCAACACTGACAACTCCACCTCCACCTCCAAGGCCTCAGAGGAGCCCTGACAGGACCTGAGCCCTTGGGAAGAGGTGGTGAGAGTAGGCCAGGCTGGGACAGGTGAGCGGGCCTGCCTCAGAACGTGAGGACCTCGTGTGACAATCTAAGTCTGAGGGTCAGGGCTATAAAGACTGGAACTGAAAAGCCCTAACACACCACCCCCCAACCTCTCTAGCCCCATCCCACAAACGAGAGTTCCTGCCCAGTGTCCTCTGCACGGGTGCTCTGGACGTCCCTCTAGGGTGGGTCCCAGGCCCGAGGCACTAGAGAAAGGGTCGGTTGTGCCAGTGGCCTGAGCTGCCGATGGGGGGATGCCCACGCTGCCCACCATATTCTTCATCGTGGGCCCCAGTGATGTCAGAGAAGAACCACTGGCTCCCAGAGCTGAGTGTGGGGCCGTGGAGGTCCTGGAGGCCACAGCCATGGGCTCCACCCCAGGGCCAGGCCCGAAGGACGTGCTGGTGCCCAGGACGGGGCTGCCCCGCAGCTGGTTCAGCGTCAGTGGCTGGGGCTGGTTCACCTGGAAGGGGTTGACAGGGGTGGAGGCGGCGGCTGCACCTGGTGCCAGGAAAGGGTTGAGCGACTGGGCTGGCAGGGTGGGCCTGGTCACCAGTGAGTCCAGGTTTACTAGGGCCGCGTTGGGACCCAGGAAGGACTCAGGTGTTTTCCGGGCACTGCTGGGCTTGCTCGAGGCAATGGTCAGGGGTTGAGACTCAAAGGGGTCAGGGCTTGTGGTTCCATTGTTTTGGGATGGCAGCAAGGCCACAGATTCAGCTGGTTTTTTTGAAGTTCGGAAGTTGTCAAATTCAGGAAAGTCGTCTTTAATTGTACCCTTCAGATTACTGAAGAGCTCAAAGGACCTAGAGGCAGATACTGGCTTGGTGGCTGAGACTGTGCCCCAGGTGTCAGAGGTGGTTTTCCCAGCACTGGGGGCAGGCTGCTGTGAAGTGGCCCAGGGGTCTGAGCTCTTGGGGACAGAGTGTGTGCTGGCTCCGGTAGGCACTCCCCATGGGTCAACAGAGGCAGCTGGTTTGGCACCGAATGATGGCCAGGGATCCAAAGTGCTCTCAGGAGCCGCTGGCCCGCCCCAGGGGTTGGTCTGGTTAGCTGAGGCCGACAGGCCCCAGGGCTCCGCTTTCCCGGCAGCAGGGCCTGAGCTGGAGAGAGCGTCCATGAAATCCAACAGGGTGGTCTGCTGTGGGTGGGAGCCGTGCTTTTTCTTTTTTGGAACTTTAACTGTGTCCATTCGGCTTTCCTCTAGGGCCATCTGCAGTCTGAGGTCATCACCCCGCCGGAGGCGTTCTTCCTGCTCGGCCACTTCTCTGCTCATGGCTAGTGCCAGCTGCAGCTGAAGCTCCTCTTCTCCGCTAGTCTGGGGCCGGGCTTGCTCCAGCTCAGAGGACACCCTCCGGGAGGTGGAGCCGCGGTAGGAGGCCGGCGAGCCCCCAGCCTTGCTGCACTCCTGCTTCGAGTAGCTGCTGGAGAGCGTGGGCTGGCGGGAGCCGCGCCCGGAGGTGCTCAGGTTGCTGCCCATACCGGCGTCAACCCGGGCCTTGCGCTCCTCGGTCTTGAGAGCCTGGGCCCTCAAGGCCCTCAGCCGCTCCTCGTCCTTGAGGAGGGCCACCAGTTGCTTGGACTTCTCGCGCACGTTGATGCCCTGGTCCTTGCCGTCACGGTCAGTGTACCGGAAGTCCTTCAGGGCCTGGATGGCAAAGATATTCTCTCGGCACTGCTGGGCCACCCGCTCGGACCCCGTCTTGACGAGATAGTGCAGCAGCGTCAGCGCCTTGTACACGTGCCGCCAGTTCTTGCCGTGGTCGCTGAGCCGCTTCCACACCACGCTCATGATCTCCAGGAAGGACGCCACGCCGTGGGTCAGCTCCGCGATCTCGGTCATCAGAGAGCTGGACGGGCCCCACGGGTCATTGGAAGTGGCTTCCCGGACTTTGATTTCGGCCTCGGAGTACTTGTTCACGATGTTTTTCATCTGCCGTCTGATAGAAGAAGTCGTCATTTTTTTTTTCTTGGTTACAAACTTAAAGCCCTTCAAAGAGAGAGGCTTCCCTGACCTGGTTACGTCTGTACCCTAGGGAGGTTCAGTGTCTGGAGTCCTTCTAGAGCAAGGTCCCCGGACAGTCCTTTCCCCCTCGGGGGCCCGAGGTCCCAGGCGCGGGACGCCAGCACCGGGCTAGCGTGCGGTCCACACGCTGGGTCACCTCCACCTGTCTCATCGCCAGCGAGCAGCCAGCACCTAGCACGGTTCCCAGCTTGGGAGGAAATACTCCCCCGGTAGCGCTGGGACGCGGGGCGAGCAGAGGCCCCGCAGGGCCGCCCGTCAGGCTCCGGCTCCGTTGGACACCCGCGCCAGCCAACATGGCGGCCGGGACGGCGCAGGGCGCGTGCGCGCGCACGCACGCCCGCTTGTAGCCGTATTATTTTTAACGTGCAGTGTAAGTGTGGTTTACCATCTTGTGCATGTAGTTATAGTGTCCTAACAGCAGAGGCCAACTTACTACCTAGGGTGGGAATCCCTTCCAGTGTCCGCTGAGTAATGGCCCTTGCTGCTCTGTTCGAACATTCATGCTCATAATCTCATTCCAGCTGGCGTTGTTGCAGAAGTATCGTTTATTAAGCCAAAATCAGACTCCCTGTAACTTCTGTGCGTAGACTATAATTGTATTCTTTGGTGTTTTATGGAAAAGATCTCAACTTATGTAATAATGGTGAGCATTCCTTGAACCCTTTGCCCCCTATTGTGCCAAGAACTTTTATTACATATCCATTTCATTTTTTCTTTCTTCTTTTTTCTTTTTTTTATTTTTTCTTTCTCCAACAATGCCATTGGTAGTATCCATTTCATTTTAATCCTTGGGAAAACCTGCAAGTTGGGTAAGATTCTTAGGCAATAGGTGAGATATCTGGGACTCAAATGAAGCAAAGCCTGAATTCCCTTTCCAGATATGAAAACCAAATGCCTTTAGGGACTGGGCAAGTAAAGAAATTGGGGACTTGCTGATGGACTAGTAGATGTAGCAGGGTCCTTGGTCAATAGTCAAATGTGTATTTTACCTAAAAGTAGCCTTGTTTTGTTCTTGTTGGACAAACCATGTGCCCTAACTTTATAAGGATCTTCTCATTTGCACAATTATGCCTCCCATTAGTCACTTCCAAGGCTAAAAATCCTCCCCAGCTGTGTCAGCTGTTCTGTATGAGGCCACTCTGGTGGGTCTCCTGTGGGTGAGCTTCACGTGGTCAATATACCAGATACACATTGGCCGCTCTGGTTCTACCAGGAATTGTTAGGTGCTGGAGGCAGGTACAAGAGGAAAAGACAGGACTTGGTCAGTGAGGAGCAGAGGTTGCAAACTAGCTGCCACATGTTGGCCTGCATTTTTTTTTTTTAATGATCTTGATTTTGGACTTCTTTTGAAAAATCAGATAGTTCTTCATTGAGAGGTTCTTCAAATAGTTCTTTATTGAGAGGTTCCAGGCCAATAGAGCAAAGTAGTGAAAGTAGCTTTAGCTGAGCAGGATTCTCCAGTTCACCAGTTTCCATTCTGTTACTTTTATACCCAACCTGCTGTTTTTCCTAAGGACAAAGAATGTGTTTTAAACCCTCCCACAAAGTCTAGCACAATGCTTGTAGGCACTTGTTTGTCAAATGAATGAGCCAAAACCTCAAGTGCATTTCCATCCTGGGGAGGGCACTATGTCCCTTTGAGGTATGGACAGTTGGGCTAGTAACATTTAATTTGGACTTTTCTAAGTGGCCCTCTGTCAGCTGTGTGTCGCCCTTTGCTGTGGCCAGCAAGCCCAGTGCATGATCTACCTGTACCAGCTGGCACAGGGGAGCCTCCTGTTAACTGGTATGTGGTGACAGAACCAGGTAGGGGGACAATAGCACAGCATTGACTTTCTGCTGACCTTTGAATGATCATGTGCCAAATCAGTGCACCTTAGTTGCCTTAATTCATTAAATTCCTATCCTGAGGTTTCTCTCTTATATCCAGTCCCATAGGCCCCTGGTCTCACAGGCATATAGTTCGGTCACAGAGCCTCAGTTCCCTTGTCTTACAAAGTGGGGATAAACCAGTTCCTACCTCGCAAAGTGATTGTGAGGATTAAATCAAACAATTTCAGATGGTGCTTCACACAGAGCAAGTAGTAAGCTCAGTAAATGGAAGCTGCAGTTTGAGAAAATGAAGGTCACTCCTTTGGCTTCAGGAGGCAGAGCCTGGGGTGAGGCAGAGGTGGAGAGGTGAGAGCCCATTTGTTATTCCTGGGGCCATCTTGACAAACCTGCTGTTCCATGGCAGAACTATTCCAGAGCCAGGGACAGGGTCCAGCAGGGCTCCTCTCCCTGACAGAACTGCCTGTCGGAGGATGTGAGGAGAGCTCAGGCCCCTGGCACTTTCCCGGCACGTGGTTGGGCCTGGGTTGGTGTGTGCTGGACAAGGCAGAAGGCAGGGATGACAGCAGCACCCCCCTTTGTAGCCAGAAGGCCCTGCAAGGAAGCCCTTAAACATGAGGGGTTTTGCAGTTGCAGCATCATCAGATTACTTCTCTGGAGTTTGTTTTTCCTTCTCTCTATTTTCACCTTTTCGTTTTCTGCACTTCCCCTCAGTCATGCCCCTTGTTACTCACATGCTGTAATCTGTGGACTGGCAGCATCAGCATCTTCCGGGAACCTGTCAGACATGCAGAATCTTGGGCTTGTCTGCTAAATCAGAGCCTGCATTGTAGCAAGACATGCAAGATGCATGTCAGTGTCTGAGGAACGTGTCTGAGTGGTGGGGTCATCCTGCACCTAGTCCGTTTCCTTACCTTGGGACTGGACCTCCCCAGGCAGTGCCAGTGGGGGAAGGGCCAGAACTTAAGTCCTTCCTTGATCCACCTTTATGCTCTGGCTAAGAAAAAAACTGCCCAGGTCTTGAGGAAGCTTCATAGAAATGGCACAGAAACAAGGCAGGGAGGCTTGGTGAAGACCATTTGTGTGATCAGTAAGAATTCACAATAGGAGTCCTGAAGGTGGGAAAGGCTACAGGCGGAGTAGAACAAGCTTTGGTACCCTGAAGGCCCCAAGGAAGGGTATGGTATAATTTATGACCCAGTGAAAGGCAGGATAGGTGATTCAAGAGTTTACCCTGGGCCGGGCGTGGTGGCTCACGCCTGTAATCCTAGCTCTCTGGGAGGCCGAGGCGGGCGGATTGCTCAAGGTCAGGAGTTCAAAACCAGCCTGAGCAAGAGCGAGACCCCGTCTCTACTATAAATAGAAAGAAATTAATTGGCCAACTGATATGTATATAAAAAATTAGCCAGGCATGGTGGCGCATGCCTGTAGTCCCAGCTACTCGGGAGGCTGAGGCAGAAGGATCGCTGGAGCCCAGGAGTTTGAGGTTGCTGTGAGCTAGGCTGACGCCACGGCAATCACTCTAGCCTGGACAACAAAGCGAGACTCTGTCTCAAAAAAAAAAAGAGTTTACCCTGAACATTGGAGGTGCTGTTTTTCCTCCCTGTGTCTTTGGGTTTGTAACACCTCCATTCTTTCATTCCTGCCACTAACTTCAGCCAGGAAATGCTCCAATCTGTGTTTTGGCTAAGATGCTTTTTTTTTTTTTTTTGAGACAGTCTCACTCTGTCTCCCAGGCTAGAGTGCTGTGGCGTCAGCCTCGCTCACAGCAACCTCAAACTCCTGGGCTCAAGTGATCCTTCTGCTTCAGCCTCCTGAGTAGCTGGGACTACAGGCATGCGTCACCATGTCCGGCTAATTTTTTCTATTTTTAGTTGTTTGGCTAATTTCTTTCTTTCTTTTTTTTATTTTAGCATATTATGGGAGTACAAGTGTTAAGGTTATTTATATTGCCCATGTCCCCCTCCCCCCTCGAGTAAGAGCTTCAAGCATGTCTATCCCCCAAACATTGCACATCTCACTCGTTGTGGTTGTACGTACCCCTTCCCTCCTACCCCCTCCCACCCTCCTGACACCCGATAAATGTTACTACTATATGTCCACTTAGTTGTTGGTCCGTTAATATGTTTGGCTAATTTCTTTCTATTTATAGTAGAGATAGGGTCTTGCTCTTGCTCAGGCTGGTCTCGAACTCCTGAGCTCAAGCAATCCTAGCCTCCCAGAGTGCTAGGATTACAGGTGTGAGCCACCGCGCCCAGCTGGAACAATTTTCTTGATATTTTTTTCCAGATAGTTCATTGTTAATGTATAGAAACACTACTGGTTTTTGTATGTTGTGTTTTGTATCCTGCAACCTTGCTGAATTCATTTAGTTCTAACAGTTTTTTGGTGGAGTCTTTAGGGTTTTCTATATATAAGATCGTGCCACCTGCAAATAGACACGGTTTTACTTCTTCCTTTCTGACTTGGATACCTTTCATTTATTTTTCTTGCCTAATTGCCCCAGCCAGGACTTCCAGTACTATGTCAGTAACAAGCTGCGAGAATGGGCATCCTTATCCTGTTCCTCATCTTACAGGAAAAGCTTTGACTTTCCACCTTCACGTAGTACTGGAAGTTGGCTGTGAGCTTGTCATATATGGCCTTCATTGTATAGAGGTACATTCTTTCTATACCTAACTTGTTGGGAGTTGATTATCATGAAAGATGTCAAATTTTGTCAAATGCTTTTTCTGCATATGTGGAGAATAGTCATGTAATTTTTGTTTTTATTTTGTTCATGTGGTGTATCACATTTATTGATATGCGAATGTTGAATTGGGGAGTCAGAAAATGAGAAATATTTTCCCCATTTAATGGAGAATGAAAGCACAGTGAGACCAAAAGAGCCATGGAGTGATGCTGGCCCAGGGTCAAGGCCTCCCACTCATTTCGATCATTGACGACACAGGATGATCTCCCACTGCCTTGCTCTCCTGGTGTCTCCATCTCCCCACCTCCAGCGAAGGGCAACAAAGCCTCTCTCCTCCAGTCTTATCTGAACAGCAGTAAAAAGTGAATTTCTCAGTGTACGGAGTTAGGGACTTTGTAGTCTAGGAAAACACAGGAAGCAGGAACAAAGTCTGTAAAGTCACACAGGGTGTTGGCAGGGCAGACCTACGTTTGTTTACACACCAAGCCCCAGGTCACCAGAACATAAAACTTGAGAGTACTTTGGGGGTACAATATCTCTTTATTAAAACAACTTCACTTGAACATTATCCAGAAAATTAGATCACAGAGCTTTGAAAGCTCCGTCTTGATACAGTTAGGTCCTCCACGTGTCTTAACTATTATCAGTCACAGCTTGAATCTAACCTTGGTTTTTATCTCCAGACTTTGATTTAAATTTGCCTATCAAAAACAAAACAAAAATTTGGCGTATCAATT